GCCCGAAAAGAAAGTCCAGCTTCCCGAAGTCCCACTATACGGCCCCTATCAAACTCACTAAGTTGACGAAATCGTACAGGTCTCCGTACTCTAGGCATCGTAACCGATCGTAAAGGATGTCAAGAACCAAAATCCGTCAACGTTGATTCTTTACTGCGGCTGAAATATTCATTTTTAGAGCATTAGTGAATTAAAAAAAAAAGCAGTATAAAAACCGGAATGTCCAACTGATAAGGCTGAAAATTTTTTCACTTGTTATTTACAGTAAGATAAATACATTCACCAACTTTTATTAAAATAAAACCATTTAAACTGGGTGTTCGGATTTATATGTCACTTAGTATATGCCTTTATAAACTAAACATGACGAAACTATTTACTTTTAAAACAATTTATTTTCTCAAAAACATTTTAGATACACTCTAGTCGTAAAAAATACATATTTGAAATCACTTAGACCTATAACTAATAGAACATCTGAACAACTAAACAATGTGCGAATAAATTCGCGAAGTTAACAAAGCAACAATTGAAAGATTACCATTGGGTAACATCACCTGTATTTTTATTAGGGCTGAAATTCTTTGGGGCATAGTGTTAACCAAGTTTTGGCAAAAATTTGGTGTAAAACAATCCCATATTTCTTGAAGCTTTTGTGTCAGTTCGGTGATTGTACGGGCAGGATGTTGTTGTAGAACCTTTTTCATCTCGTGCCACAAAGTTTCAATAGGTGACAGATCTGGACTGCTAGAAACCCATTTCAAAAGTGGTACATTATTTTCTTCCATCCATTTTATAGCCTTTTTTGAGGTATGAAATGCTGCACCATCTTGTTGAAACACAAAATCTTGGCCGGATGTCAAACATTCTTCCATCACTGGTAAAAGCGATTCTTCTAAAATTGCCAAATATTCGTTTGTATCCACATTTCCATCAATAAAATGAAGCTTTCCTACTTCTTTTGATGACATACTGCCCCAGACCATAATGGATGCTGGAAATTTCACTTTTCTCTTCAGACAGTCAACATGGAATGCTTCATTTTTTGCGAATAACTCTACTGCGACTGTCACCAACACAAACTTCGAATAGGGCCTCGTCTTACCATTGTATTGCGCACCATTGTTGAGGTGTCCACTGTCTATGTTCTTTAGCCCATCTAAGCCGATTTTTCTTTAGCAGTGGAGTTAATAGTGGCTTTTCTTTGGCCTATAAACAAGTTGTGCAACTTTAGGGTTTTTACTTCACTTTTTTTATAAGAAAACTTACCTTGCACGTGCTAAATCCCAGTTTGTGGGCCTCTCTATGAGTTGTGGATCTCGAAATTATCCTTCCAACACCGTCACTCCACAGAGCGCTAATTTGTAAATAATTGGCACGCCTGTTTTTCACGATTATTCTTCTCAATGCTCTTGGCATTTGTGATATTACTTTTTTTCACATATCGTGGCTTAATATTAACTGATCCAGTTACGTTATATCTTCTAACAATATTTCTCACACTGTACCGCGATAAGTCTAACAAAGTTGCAATTTCTGAGTTTGATTTCCCAGAATTAAAAAGGTTAATTATCAGTAACCGAATTTCCTCACTAATAACCTTTCCTCTACCCATTTTGAAAACCTTAACTATCAAAAACTATTTTAAACGTATTCTGACAGCTGTGATTAATAAAAACAATTGTCATTGCTTTTATTTTTCACAGCCACCTATGCGTTATAGACTTATTTTGCATTGAAATGAAAATAGGTTGATATGCTGTAATTGCAACATGTGTTATTGCTGCAAATTTGATTAGGGAGTAATAAAGTTGGTGTTTTCTACCATATATTATCTAAATATTCATTGTTATTATTTTAAAAAAAAAGATAAGATTTCAATAGTTGAGCCAACTGAAGTGGGAAGGGGCTCGTATATCCCGCTGAAGTGCAATACAATTAGCCTCAGACTCAAAAATCCTGAATAATTTTAAGTCATCCATAAAGAACAACCACTTAAAAATTGCGCAATATCATCAGTAAATGAGATAAACAATAAAGGACCAAGATTTGAACCCTGAGGCAATGCCAATTTATTTACATACTGGTATGACTTGAAGCCATTGAAAATAATATACGAGTATTGCTTCCTTTCATAGAGATAAGTGAGTGCTAAAGCTAATGAATGGAGTCCATAATGAGAAGCTTTATTTAAAAGTATGCCATGGTCGACCCCATCGAACGCTTTATCAAAATCAGTATATCCTACATCTAGTTGACCTTGGTAATCGACACATTCAATAGCGAACTGAGTAAAGATTGTTAAATGAGTTGTTGTGAATCTCTTAGTAAGAAGCTTATGCTGAAGAGGGAATAGAGATCTATGAACTGGAATTGGTTCCTATAGTGAGATTAAACAGTTTTAATAATGGTTTAATAAAGACATGAATACAATCTTTGACTATGGACGAGGGGATGTTGTCTGGGCCGGCAGTTTTTTATATGGAGCAATAATCATTACGAGTAGATGTATCAACAAGAATACGAATAAAGAAATTTAGAAATGTATTGACAGTACTGTAAGGATCGTTCAGTGAGACGTCATTCAACTTGATTTTACCAGGAATCCTAGTAGTCCGATTTTTTATATGCATGAAACTCCAAAAATGTTTAGTATCTTGAGTGATTGAAATCTCAACATTATGTATACAGTCAGTTTATTGTTGCATAACTTTAAGATTCGATAGAACTTTTAAAATTAATGCATAAAGTCTATATAAACATGGGTCGAAAAATGCGGGGCTTCCGAAATACAGGGTGTTTAAATTTACTTTCTAAAATAGCTTTTTTTTAAATATTTCGAACAATATTTGATTTATAACAGTGAAAATTGGTATACAAGGGTTTTTTGGTACGACAAAACGAACCATGGGCATAGTTTTACTGTAGCCGCTAGAGGGCGCTTTCTACTGTACCTGTAGTGTATTAAAATTACCGAAATTTTTTTCTTAGTGAAATTTTTTGCTTTTTGAATAAAAAACTGATTCCTCGTACTTTTCTGCATAAAAAAGCTCTCTTGTGAGTTTTCGTTATAGAGATAGAGATATTTCGATTTTTAAGGTTCGATGCATTTTTAATTATTTATGGGAAAATTAAGATTAAAATGATCGTTTAGATTGTGTTTTTAAACACAGCAATAATTCCTAACTCCAAATAAACACAAAAAACCAAAATATTAATTTGTTTAATTTTCCAATATTATTTTTAACAAATTAAATTAATTATTTACAACTAAAATGCTATTGGATAGTTAGAACAAACATACAAAATCTAAAGTAGTTGCTCGAAATGTAAACACAATTGTTCAATACACAATTCACATCTACGAATGATCGAACGTAGTATAGAATTATTCAAATAAGGCCTTATTTCATCACATGCATTCCTGATTCTGTCTATTAGCATATCTCTTGTGGTTACGGGAGTCTGGTACACTTTTTCTTTAAGAAATCCCCACACAAAGAAATCTAATGGATTTAGGTCAGGGGATCGTGGAGGCCAGGTGACTGGTCCTCCACGGCCGATCCATCTTTCTGAATAATTTTCGTCCAGCCAGTTTCTAACTATTCTGGAATAATGAGCTGGACAACCATCAAGCTGGAACCAGTCCAATCTTGTTAAATCTAACATAACATCCCACATATTTGCATGTTCAGCCTTTAAAAATTCCAAGAAGGTCGCAGCATTTAACCTTGCAGGCAAAAGGTAGGGTCCAAATAGTCGATTACGGTAGATACCAATCCACACGTTCACACTAAATTCATGCTGAAAATTTCTTTCCCGAACTGCATGCGGATTGTCATGCGACCAAATATGTTGATTATGAAAATTTACCACTCCTCTTCTAGTGAAGCATGACTCATCGGGCCATAAAACGTTACTTAAAAACTCCCTATTATTATCAGTTCTATCAAGAATCCACTGACAAAATGTGATTCTTCGTTCTCCGTCCCCTGGCTGTAGTCCTTGCACAGGTTGCAAATGGTAAGGACGTCTATGACCATTTCTAAGAACACGGTGAACATGGCTTGCTGAAATTCCCAAGGCACCAGAAACTCTCCTAACACTTGTGGTCGGATCTCTATCAAACTCACGCAGAATCATACGGGTAAATCTGCGCTGACGAATATTTATGTTTTGATCCCCTTGGAGATTTCCAAAACCATTTTCAATTATTTGGCGATGCACTCTTACAAATACTGAGCGAGTTGGATGTCGTTTGTTTGGAAATCTTCGTGCGTATTCTCTGGCTGCTTCTGCTGCGTTTCCATTAACAAGGCCATACACAAAATGAATATCCGCTAACTCTTGATTGGAGAATAAAAATGGCATTTTTATAAAACAGGCAAAAGAAACTAAATTTCGTGCATTCACAATTGCAAAAAACGTTTCAGGTTTCAACAGACAACAAAACTAACTGTCAACTAATTGACGTTTAACCTTATTCTGATTTCAATTTCAAAATTTTTTGCAGACACAGCCTACTTCTATAAATTATCGAGATACTGACTTTTTAACGTTATTTTATCATAAATAATAATTAAAAATGCATCGAACCTTAAAAATCGAAATATCTCAAAAACGGCTAACTATAACGAAAATTCACATGAGAGCTTTTTTATGTTGAAAAGTGCGAAGAATCAGTTTTTTTATTCAAAAAGTAAAAAATTGCACTAAGAAAATTTTTTCGGTCATTTTAATACACTACAGGTACAGTAGAGAGCGCCCTCTAGCGGCTACAGTAAAACTATGCCCATGGTTCGTTTTGTCGTACCAAAAAACCCTAGTATACCAATTTTCACTATTATACATCAAATATTGTTCGAAATATTTATAAAAGACTATTTTAGAAAGTAAATTTAAACACCCTGTATTTCGGAAGCCACGCATTTTTCGACCCATATTTATATAGACTTTATGCATTAATTTTAAAAGTTCTATCGAATCTTAAAGTTATGCAACAATAAACTAAAACACCCTGTATAATTTTGAATTTGTATTTTTTTGCCAGCTTTTTGAGTATTCTAGACCATAGTGCGATGCAAAAAAGCCGATAGACCGTCAGGTGTCTAAAGTAACTGAAACTGAACCTCAGCTAGAGAATGAATTAATATAATATCTACGTCATTTATTCAACCTGAACAAATTATAACTACTTTCTAGCAGCTGGCTGTATCTTCGATGATACGACTCTTTTCACGCCTGTAATTTCTTGGCCCTTCACATCTTTTTTCTGTGTTTTTGATTGGATTACTGTTTCTGTCTTAGATTTCAAACGCGACATTACTTCTGACGTAGCCTTCAAATTAGCAGAATTTCCAACAGGCGACCTCCTTAAAGTTCGCATGCTAGCATTTAAACTCAGCCCTGGTTTTGGAACGTTTTGTACGTATTGACTTTCTGGTAGCTTAAGCGTGTTTCTTGGTTGGGTTTTTGATGTTCTGCTCACAACAATGCTACGTGATTTCAAGTTAGCCTGAGGTCCTGATGGAGGTGCAGAGATCGGTACTTTGGGAACTTCCTGGGCTAACACCTGCTTAGGGAAAGAAACGGGTCTCCTTGAATTTTTCTGAGCCAGAGCCAATTGAGCTTTGGCTTTTGCTTTATCCAGCGTGTTTTGTAAGGCTTTCACCTCATTCGGATGAACAGGTTTCCTATTAATCGGTTTATCTTTTGGCTTTAGCGCGGGCTTCGTACCATCTTGTATGAAACGCTTCACAGCGCTTTCAACTGATGCATAACGCTTTGGAATCACACGTTTAGGCTCTGTAACTTTTACAGCCTGTTGTGTTTCAGTTGGCTTTTGTGACACATTTTTAGAGGTGCTTGGACTTGCATTCTTCACAGGTAATGTCGTAGCCTTTGTATCCTTTACAGCTGGTGTTACAGGTTTCTTCATCAGTATTGGATTCCTTTTCTTCAACTTAGGTCCAGTATTTTTACTCAGTTCCTTAAGATTCTCATTACTTTCCTTATTATCCATATTCAGCTGTACGTTCACCAATTTCACCTTGCCCTGCTTCTGCGACAACCGCCCCTGAACAGTCTTACGAGTTTTGTTGATTGCATCTATGTTTACTTTCAGATCTTTACCTGGCGCTTTTACAGTGTTGGTGTTGCTTTCCTTTGTAATCAAATTGCTGCACGCTGCTTCATGCTCTTGCTGTTCTCTAACTTCTACAGGTTCTTCTATATGATTTATCAGCAAAGGTTCATCTTCAGCTTCGTTGTTTTCTAAACTACGTCGATGAATTTCCAGTGATTTTGGTATAACATCCTCCCAAGGCATTTGCTGCTCAGCAGATCTGGTTATCAATGCTTTCAGAGTACAGTTATACCTCTTGTTAACTAAAGTTTGTATCTCTTCCGACTTCATGTCATTGATATCACTGAATGTTTTGAGAAGATCATTGTTTTGATGGTTTACTGCAGAAATTTGCTCTTCTAGATGTGACTTGGTTTTATTGTCTTCATTCGGGATTTCAACCAAAGATTCATATTTGCTACCAGGTAAGTCCATTGCGTCTGATTCGGTATATTCATCAATCGTTTCCTCGGAGGCATTGTCTTTATCTTCTCTAGAGTTGCACTCTTCATCTGGCCTGCTTGAAACATCGATAGAAGGAGAACCATTTGGGCGGATAGGCAATTTATGAGAGATTGACCCAACTAGTTCAACTGGTTCCTTCAGGCCAATGATTCCATCTTGCTGACTTGCTGGGGTAACTTCCGGCTCTTGATTAATTGGCGACTGCGTGTTGTCGTTATCCAACTCCTGATTAGGCTCTGATTGATCAGCTGAACCTTGTTCATACTGAATGTTGTAGTTTGATGGGGGTTGACTTGATAAGACAAATCGTGTTTCATAGGAGTCTTGCACTTGAAAGTAGCTCTGCAAAAAGTTTTGCTCCATCAGATACATGCTCTCCAAAGTCCTGGCAAGCTCATTACAATCTCCTATCTTCGTATAGTTATTGTAACTTACCGTGTTTGGAAATAGTCGGTTAGGTTCCGCTATTGAATCGTGTTGCGAAGAATATGAAAACACTGTAGGGTTGATTTCTTCAGTCATATAATAAGCATTGATTGTTGCTGCATGGTTTTCCGGATGCATCTCAAGCAATATATCTAGGAACCAGGGGAAGTTAGACAGATGGAACTCCTCCGGGTTCGGTGGTGGTAAAAGACAAAGCTGTTGCTTCACCTGCGGCTCCTTAATGGAGGTGATGTAGTTTGCTTCTAAAATGGCGGCTAGATTGGTAGATGACGTTAAAAAGTTGTAGATGCAGCTGATCATGTTGCACCAGGCTTCGGTTTCATCGCAGGTTTGGAAGTTTGGACTTGACTCTGGTTGCTCTTGGGACATAACTGGAATTTTGTGGATGGATGACTGACTGGATGATGACGTTTATGAATGATGCTGATGATGTGGAATGTCGAGCTCGAGCACATGTCAAAGCAGGCACGCTAGTGCCGTTATGTTGGCTTGACTAAGTTATACAATGTGTAATGTGTAAAAATTCTTACACAGATTGTTTTTAAGACACAAAGTTGTCATCTTTGTAGTTTTGTACACAAATTACTATAGGTTAACGCCTTGCAACAACTATCTGCTATTTATTTGGCTTCCTACGTCACTGGGCAAGGCAGTATTGTAATCGCGAAAACATTTCGAAAAGGAGACTTTCTGTTTTTTGGATATTATATGACATGTACATTACGAAGTATCATGTCACTCAATAACTTGGAAAGTACCATTCGGATTTTGATGATACATATTTTCACACAAGGTTACTACTATACCAAGGATGAAACAGATTTATAGTTTTCAAAAATCGGTCCAGTGGCGGCGGGATGGAGGGCGGAAAAAGAAAAAATAAAATCGCTCAACTTTGTTTTTTGACGTTCATTTTCGAAAAAAAATTATGTGGGTCGAAAATTGAAGATCATAGGTTGTAGGAGGTTTGTACATATTGAGCATTTATATATACTAAGTGACATATAAATCCGAACACCCAGTTTAAATGGTTTTATTTTAATAAAAGTTGGTGAATGTATTTATCTTACTGTAAATAACAACTGAAAAAATTTTCATCCTTATCAGTTAGACCTTCCGGTTTTTATACTGCTTTTTTTTAATTCACTAACGCTCTAAAAATGAATATTTCAGCCGCAGTAAAGAATCAACGTTGGCGGATTTTGGTTCTTGACATCCTTTACGATCGGTTACGATGCCTAGAGTACGGAGACCTGTACGATTTCGTCAACTTAGTGAGTTTGATAGGGGCCGTATAGTGGGACTTCGGGAAGCTGGACTTTCTTTTCGGGCAATTGCAGTTAGAGTGCAAAGAAGTGTAGACACTGTGGTTAGGTGTTGTCAGGCATTGCTTCGAGAAGGCCGTACGCAAACAGCAAGGGGCACTGGACGCCGCCGTAGAACAACAGACCGTGAAGATCGCCGCCTAAGATTATTGGCCTTAAGGGACCGTTTCTCCACTACCGGGTCCATTGCAAATGAATGGTTTGCAGAACACGGAAGACCTATTGGCATGCGAAGTGTTTACCGACGAATGAGAAGTTTTGGCTTGTTTTCATACCGGCCACACTGGGTCCTCCCTTTAACTCGAGAACACCGCCTTGAGTGGTGCAGACAACGGTCACTCTGGGATCAGGAATGGAACAGTATTGTCTTTAGTGACGAGTCTCGATTTTGTTTTGTCTCGATGGTCGTACCAGGGTTAGAAGGCGACGTGGTGAAAGGAGGAGTCCACAGTTTTTTGTTGAAAGACATGTTCATCACACTTTTGGAGTTATGGTTTGGGGTGCTATAGCTTATGGTTCCAGGTCACCTTTAATCTTCATCAGAGGTAACATGAACGCGCAGCGTTATATCCACGAAGTTCTAGAACCCCATCTTTTACCCTATCTTGACACCCTGGCAGATCCAACTTTCCAACAAGATTAAGCCCGACCACATGTTGCAAGAGCCACAATAGACTTCTTTCAACATAATGACGTCACATTGTTACCATGGCCACCAAGATCTCCCGACTTATCCCCAATTGAGCACGTGTGGGATATGATGGGTAGGAGATTGCTCAATTTGCAACGTCCTCCTCAGACTCTAGAAGCACTTCGAGAGGAGTTGGTGGTTGCCTGGAATGAGATACCACAGGAGGACATTGACCACCTGATCAGAAGCATGCCTAGGCGCGTTGGAGAATGCGTAGCACATCAGGGTGCATCCGCACATTATTAAAGGTCAAACGGCTTTAAAGCAGTGCAATCATTTTGAAATTTTTATCATTTACTTATTATGCTTCATTAAGTACTTATACAAAATTTTATTAAAATAAAACCATTTAAACTGGCTGTTCGGATTTATATGTCACTTAGTAGACGCGGACTGACAAAAACTCACATAAATGAGAAACATGCACTTGTGTGATGCAACAGGTTTAGGTTATTGTAGATTTCGAAATTTTATTTGATTCGGAGACGGCGAAACTACGGGCAAAAAAATAAAAATATCTGGAACATAGTATTACATTTTTGATATCCCTATTCATTTTCAGACGCCTGCTAGACAATGTTTTTCCTACATCTGAAATGGTAACAGAAATATGATTTATTTTATATAGTTTGATTTGGATGATTTTTTAAAAGTTGCCATTCTGGGGGATTTTTGTACTTGTTTTGGGGAATTCTGTCTGACCCTTTTGGCAATGCTGCACCAAATTTAGGAATAAGCAAGCAAACTAATGTTTTTGAATCCAGCAGTGACAAGTCGGAGCAGTAATTTCAAACAAAACATGTGACAGGGCAGTACTGTACTTTCAATGTCATACCAAATAAATGGTGAGTTTCTATTTATCTTATTTTTTACGTTTTCGGTGCTGTTTTACCGTAAATTAGCTCCACGCTAGGTATGCTATTGAATATGTTTTGATGGCACATGTTGGTCGATGCCTAAGTTCACAGCTATTCTTTGTTTTTTTTATATCGAAGCAGCCGCGCAGGCAGAAGCCTAAATGCCGGAACACCGCGGCTGCTATGATTCCAAACAAATTTTGTTAATACGGTTTTTGAACAGCCTGAGGTTAGTAGAACCAAGAAATGCTTCCTCTTGTAGACTGTTCCACAATCTCGATACCCTCGGGACAAAGAGCGGACGTATCGGCCAGTTCTGGATGTACGAAGTTCGACACGGTTAGGATGGGAGGCCGAAGTCAGGCGGGTCTGTCTGGCAGGCACATCGCGCGCTGGCATCATGGAAGCGAGCTCTGTGGAGTAAAGCCCGTTGGTGAAGCGGTAGAAAAGATCTAGATCGCCGACGGCCCGCCGCACAGTGTGTTCCTTTATAGAGATCAGGGACAAAATTCGATATCTTAAAATCTAGTGGTCCTATTTGAATTCTGGAAACGCAGGGCGATTACTTATTTAAGTAGCTTTCTAAAGTATGACAAAAATTATTTAAAATAATAAGAAGGGGTGGGGGAGCATAAATCGTTTTTTTTTTTTTGTAAAAGTCAAAATATTAAGTTGATCTCGAATAAATTGGGATAAGGTAGGATATTATTATAGCATTCTTAAGAGAGACAAAAAAGTCACGCTTTTATTTTTCAAGATCTTTACCAAATGATTTAAAAGATAATGTAGCCAACTTGTGGCGGGCGCAATATGATTTATTAAATTTGTCTATCTATTTGAAAAAATAATAAGAATAATTCAAATAAAAAATAAATCTGTCTAATTTGAAATTGATATTTAGGTTTTTATTTAAAAAAATATATTTAACAAAATAACAATTACTTAGTAGGTAATGTATGAAATAATAATATAAACTATATTAAAAAAATAACACCAAATATACCATTCTAATCGGAATAGGATTTCTTGCTCGGTGCTGTGTCATTCGTTATTGTACCTAAGTCAATACCTAAATCATCATTTTCTTGCTTTTTTAAATAGTTCTGAACTACCTCGTTGCATTTCTTATATTTTTTTGAGCTCACCTTTCTTTTTGAGGATATAAAAGGATCTGAAGTAAGTAAAAGAACACGCATGAGATCCTTATTCGTATCTGTTCTTGAATATTTTCTGGTGTGAGATAATCGATGTTTCCTAACCTCTTTATGGCGAGGCTCAAGCGCATCCTCCGACAGTTCTCCAATGGGCAAACAAAATGCATCAATTATCTCACACCCATGAACAAGGATCTTATGTACCGTGTTTGGCATGTTGTACCACTTATAAAGGTGGATATACAAATTTCTTGCTTCTTCCAGCAATGACGCAAACTTTTCCATATCAATAGCGCAACCACTAGCTAACACTCCTAAGATGATCGCAAATTTCTCGATTAATTCCCTGTCAACCCCTGTGATATCTGAACTTGTTTGTGGATTGTGGAAAAAAATTCTGGCCCGTATTGCCATCATTTGAGCAGCCATACCCGGGTTTTGGTTTGTCAACTATTAGAGACAGCTTGGCTCTGAACTCTGCTTGGATTCGTTTTTTGTTTGCTTCGACTATAGCTTTGTTTTCAGGCCCACGAACCTGCCAAGATTTAATTGGCAGGCGGTATCCAATATGGAGTAAGCATTCAAAAAAACGAATCCAGCAGTGTAAAGTTGACAAACCAAACCGGTAATTGTCTACGTTAGGAGGACGGTTAATCCCTGCTAACGTGTTCATGTCCTTGGGTGTGGCTCCGCAAATGATGCACTTCATAGTTGAATTTGTCTCTGATAGAACGTATCCAACACTGCCGTCCAACATTGTTAACATCATATCAACTTCAATTATATAAGAGTGCCCTTCTTTTGTTTTAATCTCAATAGAAATCAAATTTTCAATTTTTGTTATTATTTCCTTTTCCGTATTCCGCACTAAATCAGCATTTTCCTTTTTAAATAAAAACTTGATCGGCCTACAATATAAAGTAGACGAAGAGCTCTCATTTTTCCACAATACCTTATTCGTTTCCATATCAATCAATCTGAGTGGCGTCATTGCTACAAGAAACAGAAATTCATCGGTGTTTTCTAAATCAGAAAATTTCTGCTTATATTGGCTATGCCCAGAACTGCCATCAAATCCCCACTTGCATATCACTTTAATCCGGCAATCTCTCTCTTCAAAATTTATTATTTCAAGGATACTTTCAGCTGTTTTCTGTAGAAGTTCTTGCAAATCAACCTCTGCAGAAATTTCAGTAATAATAAATTGTGAAGGGAGGATAGCATTTTTTGTTTTCTGTAATTCTTTATAACTAGGAAGGCAGTTCTGGGCCTTACCATTAATAACAGACCTAAGTAGCAAATACTTTCTTACGGATATATCCAAATCTACCATAAGGGCTAAAGCTTCAGCTGTACTAAAACTAAAAATTTGTGGCGAGACCTCACTGTGATTGCTTCCAGAAACGACATTTACAGCAAATTGAAGTTCATTTGCAGATCTGTCTGTGGTTAGTTCGGCTACACGTCTTCGTTTTGTTTTCTTCGATGCCTCTTCAAATGGCACCCGTGGCCGTCCAACTGAGCGACAAGGAGATTCTTGTTCCTCATCCGAAGATGTGTTTTCTGCAGAATCATTATTTATTCTATATATAATCTTGTCTAACCAATATACCTGATTTTGTAAAAGTCGATTCCGAGATTGTCCTACTTTCTGCCATTTATTTGCCATTTTCAACCCAAACAACTGGCTGCATTTCATAATATTACTTTTAAGATGTTTGGAAGGTTCATCGGTTATATCAATAAGAGATAATATCTTTTCATAAACCACCTGTTTTCTATTTCCTCTCGGTGCTTTTATCCACACATCAATCAAATCTCTATTTCTGACAATAGCACCATGTCCTAAAAAAATTATATCTCCCTTAGACGTGGCATGACGTGATTTAAACTTTTTATCAAAACTTACTATGGACAGATAAACAATAAATAAAAAACTTTTGGGGTGATGGGAGGTGATTTTTGTAAAACTCTAAAGTCAAAAGTTTAAAAAAAATAAAAAAATCGGTAATAGTCACTTTAACTTAAAAAATTATCTAATTATAATTATATTTTAAATAAATCTATACATCAATATAATGTACTTACCAGCCTCATTACCAGCCATATTGGAAAAGTTAAAATATTTAAATATTTCGACCCAAAATTTATATCTTTCTCGAGCAATAAAACAGCGAGATTTTTCGCCTTCTTGACAGGTCTCGACATGTCTAACTTTAAAGTTGCTAAAATACGTAAATCGCAGCCAACTTGATTAAAGTACTATACTTACGTGTTGCAGTGACTATTTATCTATCCAATGGTATAATAAAAGCAACAGAATTCTAATGTTTTTGAGTAATTTTGTCCATTGGGCGCCACACTGTGCGCCGGTGCGAAAGAGTCCCGAGACTGTCTGGTAGAGAAGAGTCATCGATCAATCGGACCGCCCTCCTCTGGACAGCATCGAGCATGGATAATATAGTCGGGGCGGCAGCACCCCAAACGTGTGAGCAATAGTCGAGGCTAGGCCTTATCTGGGTTTTGTATAGAGTGAGAAGGTCATGCGGAGAACAGTACTTCTTAGTCCTAAATAAATAGCCTAGCTTTTTCCCAGCAGCTGCAGCTATTGACAAAATGTGTTCGTGCCAGATCAGGTCCTCGGTGAACTGGACTTCGACCAGCCGAAATGACCCTTTGGCAGAACTCGGCCATCCACCGAAACCGGATGAGCGCTAGGACGCTTTTTGTTCGTCAAAGTACAGTACTGTGTTTTGGAAGCATTGAACTGTACAAGATTGTTGCGTCCCCAAGCAGTGATAGCCTCCAGGTCTCTTGTCAGAGAGGAAGTCGTCGCTAGTCTTCTTTTTTCCAGCTCAGCGGCAGAGATCGGCTTGTGACTCTGAATTCCTGCATGTAGAGTACTATCATCAGCGAAGCTGATGGTTGATCGTACAGGAAAGGCGGTTGTTGATATGTAAGAGAAACAGTATCGGAGCCAAGACCGATCCCTGGGGAACACCCGCGTTGACGTTGTGGGATGAAGAGGAGATCCCATCAATTACGACGGATATCTTGCGGCCAGAGATAAGGTCAGCCACCCATCTGCAAAGCTTTTCTGGGAGGCCAAAGGATGGAAGTTTGCTTAGCGTGCCATGAGCCTCACCATAAGACTGCACCTCTCCATCACCTTACTTATAACAGAAAGCAGAACTATAGGCCTCTAGTTGTAAGGGGAAAAGCTAGCGGGTAGTACCGCCTTGTCTACCACCTTCCTGTTAGTGATATTAAATAGACCTAAAGTCGCCCGTTGGCGGACTTGTACCGCCACCCGGCAATCGGTACTGAGGTATTCCTTGTACAATAGCTTTTTTCGCGGAGCGAATCCCGGACGCCTTCATCTTATCATCGCATGCGCACTAAAAAAAAAGACCGTTCGCGGTGACAAAATTTGTTACTCGGAAATTCGTGGTACAACTGTGTTAAGTTCTGAACGTGCTCGTAATGTGTTCGACAGATCCGGTGATAGATGGAGGGATTTGAAATTCAGAACAAATCCTAACCTATAATTCTGTGTCTTTGTGATATAAACAAACATTTATCTTAAATCTACTTTCAAGATGATGCCAATGATGCATTTAAATTCAAGTGACGAAGATTTGGAAGAATTGAACTAATTGTTTGAAGTTCCAAAAAATGAGAACTTTTGTGAGGAAACTGTGCCCCAATTCAACGATCAACAGTTTTTGGGGCATTTTAGGATAAGCAGGGAAGTAGCAACCCAATTATCAAACAGATACGAAGCTTCGCAATATTATCATTACCAAAAAGGCGACTCTGAAAAAATCAGCCCTTTTAAAACAGTTGTGGCCTTTTTATGGCATGCAAGCAATGAAGCTGCAAGCTTAAGAGATGTATCTGACCGGTTTGGGGTTACGATTAGCTCTCTTCATAAAATTGTAAAGAGATTTACGTATTTTTTATCCAATTTGTCTGCGGAATTTATAAAATGGCCAACTAACGAGGAGAAAATTGAAATTGAAAGCCACTTTAGGCAAGACGAATTTCCCGGCATTATTGGCGTCATTGACGGTACACACATTGAAATTGACAAGCCACAGGATGATCCAGATTCATACCTTATCAGGAAGCACTTTTTTTCGATCCAGGTAAGAAAGCAAAATTTTAAATTTCAATTTAAATGTTATTCAAGTATTATAATATCTTAAATGTTTATACAGGGTCCGCCAAAGGAACCTGATGAATTTCAATATGAAACTACAAATGTATCTTTCAAGGTATTTATTTTCATATATAAGTAATCGAAAGTGTATTACATGCCATTTTATGTATGGAAAATAACTTCGGTCAAATGATGTCCTTCACTGCGGACACACTCTTCCAAACGGTTTCGCACATTCCCCATTACGCGCTGTACCATACTCATCGGAATCGCGCTAATTTCATTGCGAATGTTTTCCTTCAATTCTTCAATGGTCCTTGGGCTCGTTAAATATACCTTGCTTTTGAGATAACCCCATAACCAACAGTCACAAGCCGTGAGATCGGGAGACCTTGCCGGCCAAGGAACATCTCCATTCCGCGAAATGACTCTTCCTGGAAACATTTCTCGCAGTCGAACCATTGTTGCTCGTGCTGTATGCGCTGTGGCGCCATCTTTGCTGAAACCATACAGTATTTAAATCTATGTTCCGTCGACGAACCTCTGGTTCCAAAAATGTGTTTAACATTTCCAGATAACGTTGCGAATTGACCGTGACAGAATTTCCAGCATCGTCCTCAAAAAAATAGGGTCCAATTATGCCGAATCGCGACACTCCGCACCAAACAGTAACCTTGCGAATATGAAGGGGTCGCTGGTGAAGTTCTCTCGGGTTTTCTGCACACCAGTAGCGAAAGTTCTGCTTATTTACGTAGCCTGATAACTCGAAATGCACCTCATCAGACATAATTAAGCCACCTAAAGCGTTTTCATCCAAAAGTTCCAGAAGCTGGTTGCTTGCAGTCAAACGATTCACAAAGTCTTCAGCTGTCAGTTCTTGAACCATCGCTAATTTGTAAGGGTGATAATGTAAATCCTTATGCAAAATACGCCGCACTGTTGTTTCTGAAAGCCTTAGACTAATTGCTTGTAGCCTAGCTGAACGACGTGGACTTTGCTGCACCGCTGTTCGCACCCTCTCAATATTGGCTGGAGTCCGAACTGTTCGACGCATTCCTGGTGGCTTAGCTTTCATTGCTGATGCAGATCGACGAAAATTTTGTAACCGATGTTCTACGTCAAAAAACAGCTTCGTACTATCCATTCTGAAAACGTCAGGTTCCTTTGGCGGACCCTGTATAATATATTTTATTTTTTACAGGCACAAGTTGTTTGCGATCATAAAAGGAAAATAAGGGATATATTTGTCGGATACCCAGGATCCGTACATGACAGTCGATGTTTCGGACATCACCATTATTTGGAACACTTCAAGAAAAATGTGGAAACCACTTTATTATTGGAGACAGTGGTTACCCTTGTTTACAATATTGCCTAACTCCATTTCAAGATAGAGGTAATTTGACTCGTCACCAAAGACATTACAATTATCTTCTTTCGAAAAATAGATATGCAATTTAGCACTGCTTCGGCATATGCAAACAAAAATTCAGACAGCTTTACCATTTGAAATTAAGAAATGTCGAATTATGTGTTCACTTTATAAGGGCCTGTGCTGTATTGCACAACCTTTCAATAGAAGACAATTTACAGTTCCACCAGCACCAGAAGCACAGAATGAAGTAATTGTTGGACAAGCAGGGCGAGATGCAGGAAATGAAAATCAGGATGAACAAACTGGGATAACAAAAAGAAATGAAGTAATGTATAGCTTAAATTTCGTTATTTAGTATGTAATGTGCATGTATTTTTAATAAAAGCTTTTTGAAATAAATTTAAAACAAGTAGTGTTAATTAATTAACTAAATAATGAAAAAATAAATAAACAAAAAAACAACGAAATTCTACTACAATAAAAACACTGTACAATTTAAAACTTAAATTATACTAATTTAAATTTGATCTAAATAAATATAGAAAAACATAACAAAATTCTCTTAAAATATGTAATTCAAAACTTAACATCTAAATTCTTTGAACAAAAAAATTAAACCTTTTAAAGGATATCAAGGTGTGGATTAGATCTTCCTAAATATTGTTTTATTAATTCATTTTTTCCTGTAGAATGTAATTTTTTCTTTTTTTTTCTGTTAATTTTCCTTCCTCAATTTCCAAAAGTTTGTTGTAAAATTCTTTTCTATCTTTCCGAATTTCAGATAAAATTGTAACTTTAAGCCTTTTATTTTTATTCATGTTTTTAATCCTTCGAGGAGCTATTACATCAGTTGCCTTGCTGCTGGTGCTGAGTAGCTCCTTGGTTTTAGGAAATTCTACCAGATTTTCCTTTTCAGGATTATCTCCTGTAACCAGCTGTGTTGTTCGATGAATAACTGTGTCGGATGACAATAATACAACATGATGAATGTTTCGTTTTTTACCCAAAATATCTTCCATTGCTTCTGCATACTCAAACTCTCTCCTTCCTCTTCCAGTATTATTGTTGTTGTCCACATATTTCTTGAATATTCTCTCCAGATGATTCCATCTGTTTTCACAATTTGATCCTGTTATATTTTGATTGGTTTTTTGTCTTAACTCCTTAGCAATTTCTTCATACATTTTTTTTAAATGTTTAATTTTTAAAGACCCAACCAAGTCTCTATATTTTTTATATAGGTCCAAAAAAATAAGAGTCTTGGTGTAATTCCATTTAAAGGATTCCACTTCATCCTGGTCTTGAGAACATGAAGGAAATAGCAGAAACTCTGACAGATCTAACAAAATAGTAATTTTTTAATTATTTATTTATTGATGGGTTAAAAAAACTTACCTCCTTTATCAGACGTTTTAAAAAAAATGGGCGACACACTTGCTGGACTTGATAAAAAAATACTTAAATTCAAATAATAAAAATCAAAACAAAAACTCTAACCTTACTTTTGTGCAGAAATAATTTGGTAGGTTTTGCTGTTCGCGGACATTAAAAATTCCGAATTAATTACATCACGCGCTTGCGCATTTCAAACATATCGGAGATACTTTATTTGTGTTCGGAATATGGTCTGGATTAGCTCCGCGAAAAAAGCTAAAAAGAAGTTATATACTGGATACAACAACTTCCGGAACAAGCATTTGCTACGGCCCCGCTCAGTAGGGAGTAGGGTGAGGATGCATGTCAGATTACGTTTTCCATTTCGAAATGTAAACGAAATACAATAATTTCTTGACATATCAAGGGGGAAAATGTCACATGCTTCACAAAGTTTGGGTCGATCTAAAAGTAAAATTAAATAGAGGAAAACATGGTATTAAATTCCATCCATTATCTTCTACTCGTCGATGTAGATGTGCGCGTTAATCTATGATAATGTGTGCATCTTTTATTTACTGAGGTTATTAAGAACAAACCAACAGACAGATTAACAGATGATAGATGAGACTGAATTCGTTCTCTAAAACGAGTCAATAACACATGTCCATCCAATATAATTTATTTTTGATGACTAAACTGTTGCAAACCTTGTACCCTTGCCTCAATAATGAGGAAACAACTGAAAATAAGAACATTTAGATATGAGAAAAAAGTTCAATTAAACCAATTAAAATTTTGACTAGGCCAATCAAGAAATTTTTACTTGAATCTATGAAAATAGTTTATTCAACATTTATTCTCCATAGATTCTGAGGGTAGAGTGCTAAGATTCGCAGACGATATTGTTATCATTTATGAAGTCTCAGACTGGTATGAACTATAAAACAATATTAAAAAGTAATGCACTAGCATATACATAGACTACCTTTGTACCCTTCGCGTCTTATAAGAATCATTAGCCTCCGTACACTGAAATTAACGTCAAAACAGCAAATAGTACTGTTACTATTAAACATCAAACTAGCATTAGATACCTTGGAATTTATATTGATGAAAATCTAAAGTCGGAATTGAGTATGTAACCAATAAAATAAGACGCCTTATGCCAAAGTTCAAGTACCTTATAAACGTGCTTAGGTTTGATTGTATGAGAGCCTTATACTACGCACTTGTGAAGTCACATCTTTGCTATGGACTGACTGGTTGGGAAGGAGCGCCATTCTCAAGTTTAAGAAAATTAAAAATTGCTCAAAAATATATACTAAGTGACATATAAATCCGAACACCCAGTTTAAATGGTTTTATTTTGATAAAATTTTGTATAAGTACTTAATGAAGCATAATAAGTAAATGATAAAAATTTCAAAATGATTGCACTGCTTTAAAGCCCTTTGACATTTAATAATGTGTGGATGCACCCTGATGTGCTACGCATTCTCTAACGCGCCTAGGCATGCTTCTGATCAGGTGGTCAATGTCCTCCTGTGGTATCTGATCCCAGGCAACCACAAACTCCTCTCGAAGTACTTCTAGAGTCTGAGGAGGACGTTGCAAATTGAGCAATCTCCTACCCATCATATCCCACACGTGCTCAATTGGGGATAAGACGGGAGATCTTGGTGGCCATGGTAAGAATGTGACATCATTATGTTGAAAGAAGTCTATTGTGACTCTTGCAACATGTGGTCGGGCATTATCTTGTTGGAAAGTTGGATCTGCCAGGGTGTCAAGATAGGGTAAAAGATGGGGTTCTAGAACTTCGTGGATATAACGCTGCGCGTTCATGTTACCTCTGATGAAGATTGAAGGTGACCTGAAACCATAAGCTATAGCACCCCAAACCATAACTCCAACAGTGTGATGAACATGTCTTTCAACAAAAAACTGTGGATTCCTCCTTTCACCACGTCGCCTAACCCTGGCACGACCATCGTGCATGCCTAAACAAAATCGAGATTCGTCACTAAAGACAATACTGTTCCATTCCTGATCCCAGAGTGACCGTTGTCTGCACCACTCAAGGCGATTACGTCGGTGTTCTCGAGTTAAAGGGAGGACCCAGTGTGGCCGGTATGAAAACAAGCCAAAACTTCTCATTCGTCGGTAAACACTTCGCATGCCAATAGATCTTCCGTGTTCTGCAAATCATTCATTTGCAATGGACCTGGTATTGGAGAAACGGTCCCTTAAGGCCAATAATCTTAGGCGGCTATCTTCACGGTCTGTTGTTCTACGGCGGCGTCCAGTGCCCCTTGCTCTTTGCGTAGGGCCTTCTCGAAGCCATGCCTGACAACACCTAACCACAGTGTTTACACCTCTTTGCACTCTAACTGCAATTGCCCGAAAAGAAAAGTCCAGCTTCCCGAAGTCCCACTATACGGCCCCTATCAAACTCACTAAGTTGACGAAATCGTACAGGTCTCCGTACTCTAGGCATCGTAACCGATCGTAAAGGATGTCAAGAACCAAATTCCGCCAACGTTGATTCTTTACTGCGGCTGAAATATTCATTTTTAGAGCGTTAGTGAATTAAAAAAAAGCAGTATAAAAACCGGAATGCCCAACTGATAAGGCTGCAAATTTTTTCACTTGTTATTTACAGTAAGATAAATACATTCACCAACTTTTATTAAAATAAATCCATTTAAACTGGGTGTTCGGATTTATATGTCACTTAGTATAGGTGGCAAAACGTTGTACATGCCTCTATGTAAAGGTCAGATATAGTCACCAGCCTGTATGAATGTGATGATTATTGTATATTTGTAGTATTCTTTTTATATTAATTTTTTTTTATTTTATTTCGTTAGATACTTTTTTACACTTTCGGACAGCTATAAATAGCTTCAAATCGTTTTTTAACTATAATTTTAAACAAACGAATAACCAGTGCCATTTCACGACTCATAAGTTGTTTCGCCAGTGACCATGATAGCAAATGCGACAAAAAATTAAATTATTGTCATACAAGGTTTCTCTATCGTGTCAGTGCTTTATTTTGTCATTGTTGCTCCTATACTGGCAACAATTTATAGCAATCTGTATTTTTGGCAAATGAATTAAAATCAACTAAACCAAAACCCTATCGTTTAATTAAACCTATTATACCGTTTGCTTAGATTAAATACACCAATTTATTTAAAATTAATGAAGTATTAGATTGAGCTTACCTGCTCCAAGTTGAACTATTCAATTATACTAAGTGACATATAAATCCGAACACCCAGTTTAAATGGTTTTATTTTAATAAAAGTTGGTGGATGTATTTATCTTACTGTAAATAACAAGTGAAAAAATTTTCAGCCTTATCAATTGGACATTCCGGTTTTTATACTGCTTTTTTTTAATTCACTAACGCTCTAAAAATGAATATTTCAGCCGCAGTAAAGGATCAACGTTGGCGGATTTTGATTCTTGACATCCTTTACGATCGGTTACGATGCCTAGAGTACGGAGACCTGTACGATTTCGTCAACTTAGTGAGTTTGATAGGGGCCGTATAGTGGGACTTCGGGAAGCTGGACCTTCTTTTCGGGCAATTGCAGTTAGAGTGCAAAGAAGTGTAGTCACTGTGGTTAGGTGTTGTCAGGCATGGCTTCGAGAAGGCCGTACGCAAAGAGCAAGGGGCACTGGACGCCGCCGTAGAACAACAGACCGTGAAGATCGCCGCCTAAGATTATTGGCCTTAAGGAACCGTTTCTCCACTACCAGGTCCATTGCAAATGAATGGTTTGCAGAACACGGAAGACCTATTGGCATGCGAAGTGTTTACCGACGAATGAGAAGTTTTGGCTTGTTTTCATACCGGCCACACTGGGTCCTCCCTTTAACTCGAGAACACCGACGTAATCGCCTGGAGTGGTGCAGACAACGGTCACTCTGGGATCAGGAATGGAACAGTATTGTCTTTAGTGACGAGTCTCGATTTTGTTTAGGCATGCACGATGG